TTTAATGTAACATATTTTATTTTAAATGTAGGTTCGAATTATAGCTTACTGTTCTTAATACCTTTATTTTGAAAACCGGAAGTAAATACGCTGTTTCTCCGCAATTACCATAATGCTGAGAATATATAACACTATGCAAAAAAAGATTATTTAATTTAGAAAGACTACTAGCTAGACTTTTAAGTTAATTACTTTTTTGTCTGTTTTTACTTAATATTGAAAAGCATTTTAACTTAATTTTTAAACTTTTATTTAGATGTAATGGAAATTACATCTGTTTACTCTTATTAGGTACCTGTAGCAAAAATGATGCTTTTATGCTATAGTGCTAACTGGTTGATCCTACTTTTAAAGTGAGATTACTTTACTTGTATTGCAAGCTTAAGGTCTGTAAAAAAAGACAGCGAATGCAATCTATCATTGCTATGAGAAGGAAGAGACAAAAAATGGTCAGTATAAGAGTAATTACAGCTTTATAATGGGTACACTGGATACATTTATGAGACAAATACACAGTATATCGTCTGCACTAGATATTTAAAGAGAAGAAAAGATCTCAATATTCTCCAATCAGATCTAGTGAAAACAAAATTATTCCACATTTAACATTTCTCACTTTCACTTTTTTTATTTTTTACATTTTATTATTTACAATAGAATAGAATTACACTGCATTTTTGTAATAAAAAAAAGCTAAAATGTTTAAAACTAGATTTAATAGTTTCAAAACTTACTTGATGGATTCTTCTTTTTTCAATTTCATTTCAGCGGGGCAACTGCATAACCTTGGTAAGTTCACTATTTTATATTAGATTATACTGTAATCTTAAAGGACAGTTTCCATTTCTCCAAACAATATATGGAAACCCATAAATAATTAGATAAACAATGCATTGCAACATTTAAAATCTCTTTATATCATAATTAATATGGTGTCATATATAACTCAAATAGTTTAAGTGTAAAATTATTCTTATAGCTCCTGAGTTTGCTGCCGGTAAAACATACGTGTACAAGTATGAGGCACTGCTCCTGGGCGGTCTGCCAGAGGAAGGTTTGGCAAAAGCCGGGCTCAAAGTCAGCAGCAAAGTTCTCATCAGCGCTGCAGCCCAAAATATATATATGCTGAAGGTAAAGATCAAAATCATGTTCAAGAAACAGTCTTCTTACTAAATGCAAACTGCCCACTAATAAATCTTATTTTTACACTTTAGCTTGTTGAACCTGAGCTCTTTGAGTACAGTGGCATCTGGCCAAAGGATCCTTTAGTTCCAGCAACCAAACTGACTTCAGCCTTGGCAGCTCAGCTCATGATTCCCATCAAGTTTGAGTATGCCAATGGTGTTGTTGGAAAAATGTTCGCCCCAGAGGGAATTTCAACAATGGTGCTGAACGTTCACAGAGGTATCCTGAATGTCCTTCAGCTCAACATCAAGAAGACACAGAATGTCTACGAGCTGCAGGAGGTTTGTCAAAGATCCTCCAGTATTGATTAAAAATCCATTACAAGAAGTTGAATCTCCCTAGTAAATGTATGCTTTTCTCATTAGGCTGGAGCTCAGGGTGTGTGCAAGACCCTCTATGCCATCACTGAAGACGACAAGGCTGAACGCATCCTTTTGACAAAGACCAGAGATCTGAACCACTGTCAGGAAAAGATCATAAAGGACTTGGGGTTGGCATACACTGAGAAATGTGCAAAGTGCCAGCAGGTAGGTTCAGACCCATTTTGTGTCATGCATACATCTACAAATGTAGAGAATATTGCACAATTATAAACTATGTGGTTCATCTTCACAGGATTCAAAGAACCTGAGAGGAGCCACAGCATACAACTACATCTTGAAGCCAGTTGCTAGCGGCATCCTGATACTGGAGGCAGCTGTCAATGAGCTGATCCAGTTCTCACCTTTTACTGAGTTGAATGGAGCTGCTCAGATGCAGACCAAGTACGTTGATAGAGACTGGTAATGTTACAATGTCAATTTTTAATTTATTGGAGCAGCAGATTAACCTTTTTCGTATTACTTTCAAGGCAATCCTTGGTGTTCTTTGAAATTCAGAGGGCCACTATTGTACCCATTGAAGCCCAGTATCTTCACCGTGGATCTCTAAAGTATGAATTTTCCACTGAGCTTCTTCAAACACCCATTCAGCTCATCAAGATCAACAATGTACAGGCCCAGGTATAATCTCAGACTGCTTTAAAAGATCAGTGAAGTGATGAAAAATATGTGAATCTTTACTATGTTAAGTGACTTTCCCTTAAATTTTGTATTCTTAGATTGTAGAGATTCTGAATCACCTGGTTACCAACAATGTGGAGAGAGTCCATGAGGATGCCCCTTTGAAGTTTTTGGAACTTGTTCAGCTCCTGCGTGCAGCCCGCTTTGAAGATCTGGAAATGCTCTGGAGACAATACAGACTGAAACCTGCCTTCAGGTGACTTAGAGTATTTGAACGTTTAAATAAGATGTAAAAATATATGTATATTGTATACAGGTTCACTCAATCAATTTCCATCTTTCAGACAGTGGATCTTGGATTCCATCCCTGCCATTGGAACTCCTGTTGCTATGAGATTCATCAAGGAGAAATTCCTGCTTGATGACCTGACTGTTGCTGAAGTAGCTCAGGCTTTGATTGCATCCATTCATATGGTGACAGCAAACACTGAAGCCATCAAGCTGGTTGAGGTAGGTAAACCACAAAACAAGTTATTCTGTCGGTAATAAGAATAGAGATATGACACATTTCTGATTCTCTCTTCTAGGCTCTGGCAATCAACAGCAAAATAGTGGAAACCCCTGTTCTGCGTGAGATCGTCCTCCTTGGCTATGGTACCATGATTTCAAAACACTGTGTTGAGCTGGCTGTCTGCCCTGCAGAGCTCATAAGGGTGATCAAACCTTGTTCTTTTCAAATAAATTCAAACTCTGTGGCACATTTCTGGATGAGAAAATTAGATCTTAATTTCTCATATTCACCAACAGCCCATCCAGGACCTCCTTGCAGAGGCTGTTGCTAAAGATGAGATCCAGGATATAATCCTGCTCGTGAAGGTTCTGGGTAATGCTGGCCAGGCTACTAGCCTTAAGCCGATTACAAGGATCCTGCCCATACATGGCACTGCAGCTGCATCTCTGCCCATGAAAGTCCATGCTAATGCCATCATGGCCTTAAGGAATATTGCAAAGAAGGAGCCTAGAATGGTACATTTTTAACACCTAAGAGTATTTCAAGCTTTTCTAGTTTTTCATATAACTCCATGCTGAGTTGGCTTTTTCTTGTACATTAGATCCAGGAATTGGCTCTTCAGCTCTACATGGACAAGGCTCTTCACCCAGAGCTCCGTATGCTCGCAAGCATTGTGCTGTTTGAGACAAGGCCTGCAATGGGTTTGGTGACAAGTCTTGCCAACATTGTGAAGACAGAAGAGAATCTGCAGGTAGCAAGCTTCCTTTATTCTCACATGAAGTCCCTGACAAGGAGTACCGCCGCTATCCATGCCTCAGTGTAAGAGCACTCTCTGATTCCCATTTATCATCAAGTCCATCTCCTGATGTCTGCTTACTCAGCTCTTTTATGTTTTCATTGCAGTGCTGCAGCTTGCAACATTGCCATTAAAATCCTGAGCCCAAAGCTGAACAGACTGAGCTTCCGTTTCAGCAAGGCCATCCACGTGGATATCTATAACAGTAAGGCCAATGTCACATCTAGTTTAAGTTGCCTAAAGTTTCTTTTTTTCTGTAGCATTAACTAACTACATCTCATCAACATTTTTTAGGTCCCTTGATGCTTGGTGCTGCTGCCAGTGCTTTCTACATCAATGATGCTGCCACCATTCTGCCCAGATCTATTGTGGCTAAGACCAGCGCATACCTTGCTGGAGCTGCTGCCGATGTTCTGGAGGTAAAAAAAGAGAAAGTACCTCCCCATTATTTTTTAAGTATTCAACCATTAGGATGGTAATTGAGAACCAGTTCCAGTTGAGAACCCGTTCCAAATTGTCTGATCCATCATAACTGTATGCCTCAGAGCTTATCAATTCCTTTATCAATGCTGCAATGTTTTTTTGACAGTTGTGCATTGCAAAACAAAGATGTCAAACTCTACACTGCTAGAAACAGATGTTTCTATGACTAAGAAAGCTTAAAGGAAATAAAATGCTGTTCAAAGATAACAGACAGACTGTTGCTACAGTCTTTTTTATCTACTCTGTTTCTACACTGTGTTCAGACTCAGAGATAATAAAACAGTTGCGCTGGCGCTAAAAAACCTGTGTAGGAACAACTTTTTTTCCCCACACAGAAAATTGATCAGGAATCAGTAAGGGAATCGATAAGAACTGACAATGTCATTGATATCAATACAGTCTTACCAATTACCATTCCTATAATTCATTTTAAATGAATGTTTTTAACATGTTGAATTTTTCCTAGGTTGGAGTAAGAACTGAGGGACTCCAAGAGGCTCTTCTGAAAAACCCTGCACTTATTGACAATGCTGACAGGATGACCAAGATGAAGCGTGTCATTAAGGCTGTAAGCAATTCAACACCAGGAAGTCGCAAATATAAGGATATAATAGCATAAAATGGCACATGGTAAATGTGCAGGCTATTGATTGCATTGTGTGTTTCCTCTTTCAACAGCTGTCTGAGTTGAGGTCTCTGCCCAGCAGCACACCTCTGGCCTCCGTCTATGTCAAATTCTTCGGACAAGAAATTGCCTTTGCCAACATTGACAAAGCCTTGATTGATCAGGCAATTGCGGTATATTTAGGAACCAAGCCAGTATCAAACTGGAAGGTCCCTATTGTTTTTCAAAATTATTATTATTAATTAATGTTGTGGCCCCTTGACGTATTTTGACCCCTGGAACATAAACATCAGGAATTAATTTTATTTGGGCAAAACTTGTCGGGGCCTGGTGGAACTTTATATATTCTAATGTGTGGGCTTCAGGCGGCCACTAGGAAGGCCACTAGGCGGCGCTACTTTTAAGCAAAGTCGTTTGAGGTAATAACTCCGGCATAGTTTGTGCACATTCAAATATATTATATCACACGTTCGGTGAATGGAGCTGCATCTGCCCATATATAGGCCACGCCCACTTCCCGGCCTAGATTGTTTTTTTTTTGCGAAAGTCCCAAACATCTTGGGTCATAGTTCCTCATGTCTTCCTTAGGCTCGTGCACAAATCTCAGGTCATTGCACGAAGGTGGCGCTTCTTTTAAAATGAAGAAGTTTTATATCTCCGGCATCGGCACGTGTAGATTAGAAAACGAAACTTGGTATGAAGTGTTGCCCATGGCTCCCTGAGGCTGCAACTAAAAAGGAGAAAAAACACGCCACTGGTGGGCGCTCTGGTGGCAGGGGTAAAATCACTATGCGGAGACCGTAATAGTAATGATATGATTAACAGGAG